GAGTCCTCATCCCTGGAGGTATTTAAAAGAAGGATAGATGAGGTGCTTAGGGACATGGTTTAGTGGTGGGATGGCAGGGTTAGGTTAAAGGTTGGACTCGATGATCTCAAAGGTCTTTTCCAACCAAAGTGATTCTATGATTCTATTCTGCCTACAGGGCAGACGGAAACATCACGACAGGAGTTCAGCAGCAGCTCGTCTCAAACGACAAAGCACAAACTTCCTTTCCCAGTTCCCTTTCATATAGCTATTCCAAAGTACAGAGCAGGGTTTCTGGCAAGAACACCATAGCTCTCTGCAAGTTGCCTCTTTTAATTCTTCTCCAGTACCTCACGTGCCCCTCAGCCCAAAGACCATTACCCAAACTCCTGCTCTCCAACTCAGACCCTTCTTTCCTGTTTTCTAGGAGCCATTTACACCATCCCACTGTCCCACAATTGGCTTCCATCAGGTGGATGGTGTTTCTCACCAGGTGATTTAAGTTGCATCTACCTTGAAGGTTTTGTTTGGGTTTTTTGTTCGTTTTGTTCCAAATGCTCCCTTTGGATGGCCATACACTGTTTGGCTACTGTCAACCCAGCACCAGGTGCGTATGTTTTGCCATCATCTCCTCTGGGTTTGGATCACCATAGAGGCAAATGCAGTACATAGGAGAAGCATCACATTGCAGTGGAAGCTACTGGGACAGATTCCCCTGCAGTGGAGGGCTTAGGCAGCCTACTGCAAATTTTGTTCTTTTAGCCTGCTTGGCTAAGCATTTAACCATCAACGCCTTTACCACACTATTATCATAACTCTTTCCTGTGCTTCATGCTGCTGTTCAGGAATCTGCCGCTGTGGGTTACTGAGGTCACGGAAGGGTGGAGTGAGACCTTTCAGAGACAGCTTGTTTGAGAGCAGGGGAGGCCTTCCAAAAGCCAGCCAAATGCGGACTTGCAACGCTACTAGTGGCCCTAGCATTCCCGGGGAAACACAGTTCTTCCCAATTAGATATTGCTAGATGAGGGACATTTGCAGTTTTCTGCTGGGAGCCACAGAAAAAAAAACCACCTCAAACCCCTCCACATCCACAGTGTCAACAACTCATTGACCAAAAGCTTAATTGTTACAGTTTGTGTCAAAGGGAACAGTCTGCCTTATTTTAATGTCCTTATGCCACATATCAAAGCAAGCTCTTCTCCGCCCGTGAAGGCTGCCTCTGAGGGTGACCAGAGGCAACTTCTAGCCCAGCACAGCAGCAAACCATCACCTTCTACCAGATGTGCAGCTAGATAGCACAGCAAGGACAGAAACAGCTCCTTCAGCAGTTCTGGGCCAATGATACTAACAGAAACAAGGAGCGTGCAGAGCTGAGATGTCAAAGGGCCCTGTGAAGATAGGCAAGTTTCCTCTCCTGCCGTAAGCATCCTGGGGCCAGTCACCACAATGTAGTTTCCGAAGTGCAAACAGCTGCAAGATGAAGCTGCAGAAGACCACGTTACAGACTATCAGCCATGCTTCTGCCCAGTACACGTTCACATAGGCATAAGCAGGATGCAAGCAGACCTCGCAGGACAGTTCAGGGCAGGCTCAGCTCACCAACAAGGAAGCGGCGTTGGCCCGATCCTCTGCTGCCTCGTGGAGGGCATGCAGGTACTTGCAGCACAGCAGGGAGGGTGCATAAGCATGCTAAGACAATACCTCCCACGACTTATCACAGAAGATGACAAGAACAATGGAAAATAAGGAAGGAAGGAACCAAAAAACCTGATTTCTTGGAGCAGCTCCCAGGAAGCCCCTGAGCTAGGGGCATACTGAGGGAGTAATAACAACACGGGCAAAGCTAAACCCTGTGGGTTCAAAAATCAACATAGCAGATACCACGGCTGTTCTGAACAATCAAACCAGGAATGTCGATGCATAGAAAAACACTCCCAGCACTCACCTGCGAAAGAAGCAGCGTCTCTTCGTTATTGTGCTCCCTCTTGTCTAGGGAGCTGTGGGGTTGGCTAAAGTCTTGGGTAAGAGATGGGGGAGAGGGAAGAGAGTTTATTGGTATCACAGCAGCAACAGGTTATTACTGCACTGGAAACATACATCATTCAGCGCAAAGGTCCTCTCAGTGTAAGATCTTCTGGAGCCAAGCAGCCCACGGGTCAGTAGCACTGTGCCTACAGAAGGCACCTCCACCTTTGATATCAGTATTACAGTAACTTTTAAAGACAATTATCCATATCCAGAGATATCGACATGTCAGAGGGAAATGTGTTCGCAGTTACAGTGCAAATAGCAGGTCCATGGCTGGCTTTATCAGCTAGCAGAAATTACTCAGACTTTGTGCTACTGACCTGTTAACTGCAGCAGACCAAGTCCAAGAGAGAAGATGGAGTTACAGGCACATCCAGGTAGGACGTTTCTGAAGTTTCTGCGCAGTTCTAAAAGCTGCTCAATGTGTCAATGTGCTTGGAAGATGCTGGGAGAGAGATGCTTATTCAGCAGAAAGCCCTGGTAGCAAGTGTTTGTCTGGAATTATATGTGTTTTGAAGACTTTTCATTTGCAGTCTCCACCTGGAAAGGCAAAGTCTTTCTGACACCTGAGTTGTGTTTGGTCTCTGGTACACACAGTTCTGTGATGATTATATGAGAATTGTTTTTGTTCATGCTCCATGGACAGGGCTGAGACCCTTCATAATTAGCAAACCACTACGGCTGGGTTTAAAGAGCCAAAGATATTGTAGGAAAGGCAAGTAGGAAAAGTAATGCCACCTGCGTTGTTTGGAAAGGATAGGGGAACTTTAATGTAACAAACATGCTTACCATGGGTTATGCTTCTAAGATTCCATGTACATCCAAACTCTCAAGTCATGTGAGAATACCAGGGAAAATAACTTAAAGTTTTGTACTCTTTATAAGGTCACTGACAAAAAAATTTGCACATCTATGTAAGCTAGAGGGTCATTTTCAAGGTACAGTTGCTTTTTCTGCCATTATAAGGGGGTTTGACCTAGGATTCAAAAAAAAAAAAAAAATCAATCATGTCAAGTTCAGGACATAACAGGGTAAGTGGCAATAGAAATAGGCACATATTCCTATGGACCTCACAGTTTTCAGCTGTATGCAACAGAGCTTGCACAAATTAAACTTTGTTTCTCTTCTGAGTTTTGCTAACACTTTGCTCCTGGCACAGTATGGAAAAGGCCCTACCTATGGTCTGCAAGGCAGCACCAAGTCCTTAGGTTGTCTCTGCCCCGTTGATGGGGCTGTCAGAGCGACAGGACACCCACTGCTTGACGTAGCTCCGTGGAAAGTCCTCCCCCTCCCGCTCAAGGGGGATGGACCCACAGTTGGTCTGACTGTTTTGGTCAAATTCACAGTCAACTGGACTCCCACAGTCCGAGTCCACGAAGCCACTGTCAATAGTGTCCAAATCTACGCAGATAATAGGGTAACTGTCACCAGGCCTTGCAATGTGAGGGAAGAAGTCATAGGAGCCTTCACTGTAGGAAACACTTTCACCATCAGGAGAAGGTAGAGAAGCTGGATTTTCCAAATCCCACTGATCAGGCTGCAAGCAAAGGGCTTCTAGGATGCTCCCCATCCCTCCTTCCAAAGCCCTTCCTGCCTGCTGGTGGGCTAGGACACTGGTGCTCTGCAGGGGGTCTGTGGACACAGAGCCTGAAGCAAGTATTTTGTCCTGTGTGCTCAGGTCAGCCAAATGCAAGTCACTGGATATCTTTCTATCTTCATTATCAACATTAACCTGGGGGTAACCAGTTTCTCCAGCACTACTATTTTCCTTGCTGGTATGCTCGTGTCCCCGGTACACACGGTTACAGTCGTACTGGCAGTTACAAGGTGTAAATTCATCAGCCACAGTCACAGTTTCAATGGACAAATGGCCGTATGACCGGTCCTGAGTCCCACTGCTACCATTCACACTAGACAGCAGGGACTGGCTATCCTGGCCTGGGGCAGTCAGGCAAGACACACAGGGTTTGCAAGGCAGATCTTTTCTCAGCTCACGCAGCTCCTCCCGGGAGATGCTGTTGGAAGGACGCATGGTATAAACTTCTAGGACTTCTGGAACGACCATTCCCCATTCAAAGAAATCGAAGGTCATTTTTGTCTGTGATGCACCAACCCACTTCTGCATAAAAGGACATACAGGGAGAGAGAAGGGAGGTTAGTGTCATCAGGTCTGGGGTTCCGCAGAAATGACCAAAGTCCTGATGCTTTTAGAGACAAAGTCAAACTCTAAAATCACTGACTCCTCCAAAATAGCAGGGTATGAGATGCTGTTATTACCAGACACAGGCAGGAGAACTGACTCAAGTAATTGAAAATAATTAGCTCTGAGAGGTTTGCGTGGCTTTGCGGTTTTCTCTGTCCTGCAGAGAATGCCACTGCCCATAGCAGCATTCCTTCATGCAGCAGCCAGAAGCCCGCTCTCAAACCACCAAGTCTCCCCTCCCCTTGTGTCCTGGACATGGCTGCTCTCGGCAAGGGCAGTGAGCTTCTCCCACTGCGTGCTGCATCAGTGCCCAACACACACATAGCCCTGCTCTGCCACTTCCCTCACCTCCGTTCCCTGGGAAGGGGTTAGGTCAAGGCTTCTCCCAACCTTCTGGATGCAACCATGCCCCAGCCCAAACCTTTCTCCCACAATGACAAGAAGGAAGCAGGGGCAGGCAGGAGATGGGGACCTCAGAGAGCAGAAGCCCCCGCCTGCTCCAGGTAACGCTCAGATGATCAGGGAGTGCCACGCATTGAACCTTGCCCCTCTGTATCACCGGCAGAGTTACAGTCTGCCCTGTGCCATGCGTTATCTCCAGATCACAGGCCCCTTGCATTGTCATGCCTGGCAATAAAGGCACCTCTGAGTTTCTCTGATCTGAGAGCCAAGTAAAAGCTTCTGTTCTTTTTGAAGAAGTTACTGCACCAGACACTCAGATCACAGCAAACTTCAGGCATGTGCCGCTAATGAATGCCAGTGAGTCCTACTAGAGGTGTCTGCAGCCCAGAGGCTGGGCACAGCACAGAAACAAGGCTTTGTTCTGCTCCCGTCTGACACTTGCCTAATGGCTGAGCTGTGCCAAGGCTCTCCTAGGTGCACCACTTTCTGTTGAGTTGTAAAGCAGGTAACAATGCTGAGCTCCATAAACGCTGTGAAGGCTTCTGACAGAATGCGGCATTGCCACCGCTGCCAGGCTGCTCTGACTCCATCAGCCTCCTCTCCCAAACTGCGCTTGGCGTAACTAGACATGAGGCAAGTATTTGGGAAGAGAACAGCTTGACACAGCTTATTACCCTCTGACACAGAGCATGAAAAAATCTTCATTACAGCAGGAAGCACCAAGTCTATTTCAATTTATTTTTACCCTAAGCTACAGAGAGCTGATTATTAAAGCTGTAATGGACAGAAAAGCACCCAAGGTGCAAAAGGCCATTTGAAGATCCAGTGGGAAATCCCTTTCTTAGAATTCAGCAGGCAGAATATTTCCTATTCCCTCTTAACAGTTCTTCGCAAATTCCTGCCAACATGAATCTAAGGACCCATGTACATGCGAAGGTAAACAATGTTCCTCTGCTTTCCCATCTCTTTTTGTGTCTTAACTTTGCCTCTAACATTTTCACTGCTTCCGACCGAAGCCAGGGCTGCTGTCTGCAGAGCATCGCTATCATACTTTGCTGATCATTATTCACAGTCATAACCTAACTGCTTGCTTTGATACAGGCAGGATGCAGTTGACTGAGCCCTATCTCAATTGGTTTCTTGCCAGCCGAAAATGACGAGTCTACGCACGCATTAGTGATGTCACCACATCCTCTTGACACCCCCTGCCTGTTCATCTTGTGCTGTGGCTGTGTGGGCACTGCTGCTTTAATCTGCAAATTTATGAAGTAACTCAGCTTTTGCTCATTCCCTTCCCAGCAGCCCTGAGCACCCTACCTAAAAACTGGCAAGAATGCAGTTCCCAAGAGCAGAGAACCCCCAGCTTCACCCCGGGAGGAGCATGGCCATGGTTCTGGGGCACACGGGCTGCTTTCACTTCCACCGTGCGTGCTAGCCAGTGACTCTTGAGAATTCCTGCACTGAGTCCACCTGGTCCCGGCTGCTTTCCCAGTGAGCAATCAGTGCCACCTGCCTCACAAGAGGGTGCAAGTCCCCCTCTGGTGCAGCCATGGAAAGCCGTAACAGGGCTGAAAGAGGAAGGCGGGAAGCGAGACAGTCCCTGCAGGCTGCAGCTGAAGTGGCACCCATCCAAGACTGCTTGCTTAACCCAATTGCAAACATCAGCCATGCAACAGTGGGGAAGTACATGAAGACCATTAGGGCCCAGCTGGTGTCCCTCACCCAGAGGGTCTAAGAAAAAGCAGAAACTAAAAGCAGACACTGAAGTGTCTCTGACCAGTGTTGTTGTAACAGCAGGAACTTGTTCAGAAAGAGGCAGTGATGCCTGCACTCATATGCCACCACTCTTACAGTCACATAATGGCATTGCGAGTTGCTCTTCAGCTTAATGAAACCGTTACTGATGGATGCTCAATGTTCTTTTACTTTTGTACCCTGAGAACTCCAGCAAACCCTGCATTCTTTGCAAACCATTTTGTCACATGAGAAAGTTTGGCTGGTATTAAATGAGGAGAGAATTTGGGAGGGCTAGGCAGTTACTCAAAGATGCTTCCTTCACAGGGAGGCAGCTGCACTGTACTATCACACAGTGGTTACTCGCCCCCAGAGCTGGAGCCATCTTTCCAGGATGACATGCATGGCTATTGTCGGTATGAGTGACTCTTCAGAGAGGACTACAAGGCTTAAGGTTGAGCTCATGTCACTGCAGAGGCTGGAGTGGGAGTTCTGTCTCTACAATGAAGTCTGCTCCATGGCCTTGATGGCAGCACGGGACTGGAGCTTTGGAAAAATCCCAGTTACTGTCCTGGTATCCCTTTGATCACTCCCTTCAGGTTCCCAGGCTTCACAGATCACATACGACCTCAGCTCACCTACTGAGACAGCACCTACAGGTGGGTAGACAAGGTGCTTAGGGCCAGGTTTTAGTGGTGGGATGGCAGGGTTAGGGGAATGGTTGGACTTGATGATCTTAAAGGTCTTTTCGAACCTAAACGATTCTGTGATTCTATAAGGGGAGGTTTCGACTGGATATTAGGAAAAATTTCTTTACTGAAAAAGTGGTCAAGCATTGGAACAGGCTTCCCAGAGAGGTGGTGGAGTCACCATCCCTGGAGGTGTTCAAAAAATGTGTAGACGTGGCACTTCGGGACATGGTTTAGTAGGCATGGGGGTGTTGGGTTGACGGTTGGACTTGATGATCTTGCATGTCTTTTCCAACCATAATGATTCTATTCTATTCTATAAAGGCCCTTGTGGCACAGAACAGACACTGGAGACCTCTGGTCCTTATATCTGGAGCCGTTTGGCATTCCCTTAGAATAGATTCCCCCTCCCACTGCCCTAATGAGAATCCCTTGCCCAGAATAGCATGATGAGCCTTTTAGTTTAACTTTTTAACCTCCACTTGCTTGTGTAGCCTGTTTATACCTTGAAATCTCCATTATGCATCAGGTAGAGAGGTCTGAAAAAGGGAGCAGGGTCTGGGACGCAAGCCATCTTCTTCCACAAGCTGGAAGAGAGAAGAGAAAGGCTTTGGGGTTAAGTGCACATTACAAATGCAAAGCAAGGCATCTCCAGGTCCAGTCCAAGCAGCTGAAATCACCTGCCCAGCCTCACAAGTTAGCAAGTGTCTGAGGATCCAAGGATGTCCTGTGTTGTCAGAGCCATCTAATGGCCTTTCTTGTGAGCCTGGCAGGAGGTGAGGCCTCGGCCCTCAGGACTTATGCACACAATATTCATGCTAAGGAAAGGCTCCAATTTGTTCCCTCCTGAAAAAGCAGCACTGAGTGCTGGAAATGCATCTTCCCCTCGGGCTGGGCTGGCTAGTGGTCTGCGCCTGCAGGACAGGACTCTGGCCTGTGCGGCTGTGGCCTGTGCCAGCCCCGCACCCTCCCCTGTGGCAGCGTGCACCCCATCCCCCTGCAAGGGCACCCAGAAAGGAGGGGCCCCCAGCCAGCGCTGAGGGGCCCACATCAGCTTTGGGAAGGGGCAGGCCAGCCCTGGCTGCTGCTCCTATCTGGCAACCGCAGAGCCAGGGCCAGGAGAAGGGCCCGGGAGACCCCGGCTCAGTTCTCACTGCCATTTTTCGTCCCAGGCAGCTGAATGGCAGCAGAGCCCCAGAGAAAAGCTCAGCTTTCTTGGCAGTACGCCAGCTGCAGACCATACCTTGCTGGCCCTCACAGGCCCATATCTGTGCCTGTGCATGGGTATAGAAGATGCAAAGAAGGCTGCATGGGAACACCCGACCTTGAGCAACACCCGACCTTGAGCAAGAAGGAATAGGAGCATTTACTCCAGCTTTCTGGAGTGTTCTTACCTCCACTCTTTGGCCAGAAAGGTTGTGATTGAGGCAATGATTACTATGACAATGCCAAACGGTAGCAGCCATCCCATGCCCGCTGTCTGTGTCACTGCTGGAGAAAAGAGACTGGGTCATTCAGGCTCTCCTTGCATTTCTACCCTGGTCAGTAAGCAGGAGATGGTGAGGAGACACCCTCAATTTCTACCCCAGACTTTTTCTTAGGGACACGGAGGATGCCACCTGTGGCTCAGCACTCCAGACATGAGGTCTGAGTGAGGATGCTCGGAGAAGATGGCATCGGCGAGAGGAGCCACGTATCAGCTGCCCTGTGGCTGCGTCAGATGGTCAGCCGGCACACTTGGGGCTGGACAGACCCCTGATGTCCCCTGGTTAAGGGACACCTCCATGGACAGTCCATGAAGTGAAAAGAGAGTGCAGCTGGCCAGAGACATGTGAAGAAAAGGCCTTGGCTAGAAAAGTGCTTGTTGGCTGCTCTCCGCCGTGATGGAATGGAGCAGCTTTGAGACTCGGAACTCAGACAGCCCTTAGCAAACAGAGCCTGACCCTGCTGCCACAGCACCATGTAAAACTTCAGTTTGAGCTGCATATCAGTGGGAACAGGGAAGCTCAGCACATGCTGCTGACATTGGCCACAGTCATCCTGCCCTGCTCTATTTGAGCAAAGACCCCCTGTTTTCATGGCCTCTGTTCCATCATGACACGCACCAGTGTACTTCTGTGCATAAGGTACTGTGCGTTCCCCAGGGAGTGGGACTGGTGGCTACCAAACGGAACACCCACGCCCAACATCAGAGTCCAGACACAGAACTCAGCCCTGAGAGCAGGGCTCCCTCTCCCCTCAGCTGAAGGCAACACTAAGCCCTAGAAGTGGAGGCACCTCTACCAGATCTCCCCCATTTCTGAAAGCTGTAAGCAGGACCCTGTACATTTGACACTGGAAAGGAAGGTAGAGGCTGCACTCCTGCAGCACCTAAACCTGCTGCCAACCCCACCAAACCCCCTTCCCATGGGCCACGTTAGCAGCACAGTGAGGAGGTCAATGCAGACAGCATGTGTCAGCCCAGCCCTGGGCTTCATGTACTCAGCAAGCAAGCCAAACATGCCTGTCTTCACTAGACTATTTAGAATTTGTTCTAATCAATTAGATTTGATTAGAGTCCTGGAAGCATCGTCTGACATCGGACCAACCGGCAGGGCAGGGGGAGTTGGCAGTATGTACCGGTAGGGCTCGTTTTCAACGTCAGCAGAGGACTCCATTCACTCCAAAATCCATGGTAGCCAGTGTCTTCTCGGGGTCTGGCTCTCACTTGGAACTCATACTCAGTGTTCGCCTGGAGTTCCCAAGGCAGGATCAGCAGCGTCCTTCTGTCTTCACGGACAGCTTTAGTCTTCTGAGTCTGTGAATGATCAAACACCAGAACACTCAGGGGCTGGACCGAGTGCTCCCACCTTACCCTCAGTGCTGCCCGGTGAGGAGCCCTGCAAAGCAATCGCCTCTGCTTCCGTGTTGTTTCTGCAAGCCCGTGCTCTGGCTGGGCAGTAGCTGCATGGGGCCCTGGGGCCCCCTCATGCCTGAGAAGCAAATGAACCATCAGCCTTCCCCACAGGACCTAGCACTTCCCAAACAGCTTCTGCTTCTCGTGTTTGTTTTTTCAGCTTTGCCTGTTGTCAGTCCAGGCAAGCAGACAGACCCCTTCTCTAAATGATGAAAACCCTCCTTCTGCACCAGCGCTCCCATCCTGGCTGTGCTGGCCTCCTCTTTGCTGGTGCTTCCTACCTGATGGTAAACTGGCATCTCACTTACCTCCCAGGTGTCGGTCCTTCTTTTATAACGCAGCTGATATTCCAGCTCCTCATTCAAAAAGTAGAAAGGAGGGTTCTGGTAGATGGTTTCCCAGGAAATATTGTACCCTTCGGATACCACGGCAGTCAGATTGAACGGAGGCTGTGGTTTGACTGGAAGACAGGATGGCATTACCCTTCATAACATTGCTGGAGGCAAGAGGTGGCCCAGCATGGCACCAGCAATGCAGAGCGAGCAGGGAGCAAAACCCCCCTGGCACGGGTGGGCCCCCCTGCACAGGACACCGTCCACAACATTCCTGCCTCTCAGGCTGAGCCATCCTGAGCCATGCACAGGACCTCCCACCAGCAGCATAGGGAAGTCAGGCCCACATTTCCCCAAATATGCCTTCTGCCTGGCTCTGAACCTCCTCATCACCCAAGGAACAGGAGAAGATAGCACAAGGGCTTAATGCCTCCTGGGAGATGTAAAGGGCAGAGCACCTTGTTCTTCTCATGACACAGGTGGGACTCCGTGGAGTCATGGTCACTTGCACAGTTTGGGAAATACACCTCAGTGTAACAGAGACACCAGGAAAAGCCAAGGCTAGTGGACACTGCATAAACCCAGTGCAAATCCACATGTCCTAAGTGCCTAGAAGGCGAGCTTCTGTACCCCCTGCAGGGTGTTTTGTGTATTGAAAAGCAGTAATGCACAAACTCCTGCAGGGTCTGTCACTGAGCTACGATGCCTCTGTATGGGGACACCCAGGAGACATGCAAAGTGCCACTGCCCAAGTTGGAGTCTGTCAGCAGGAGCAAGGGGCTTTCCTGAAATGTTATGGCATTTGTCAAAGAGATGACAACTCTCAGGTAAAGTTTAATTTCAGAAGAATCCAAGTAGAAAAATCCTTTTTCATATGCCTGCATGGTACTTGCCCGCCTGGCTAACCACCCCTTTCTTCAGTTTGCTGCACAACTCGGAGCGCACCAGCACTCCACCAACTCATTACTGATTACCCACTACCTGATTACACCCGGTCTTCCTGTCATGCAGGAGAGAGAGTTATGAATTGCCCCAGAAAGGGGAAGGGTCACCTCCACTGTGCTGGGACACCTCACGCCACTCACAATAATGTCATGTTGGTTTGGGTCTCCACTGCAAGAGCCTCCTGGGACTCCTGTGAGGACACCCGTGGCATCTGCAATTAAAGCAATTCCTCCTGCCCTTTAGATTCTAGCCAAGAGCAAATACTTGCATGGCCTAGGTATGAGACTGGTCTAAGGTGGAAATTTATCACCTACTGCTTCATGGGGAAAAGGAATTTCCCTGTGAAAAGGCTGGGGCCAAGACAGCCCTAAGCTCAGCCTCAAGCATAAGTGTTTCTGTAGTTTACAACAGCAACAGTAAGAGCCCAGCATTCTGTGTAGATGAGTGCACGCCAGACCTAGCCCCCGCTCACGCCTTGCCTGCACTACCCTAGCAGGCAGCCATAGGGTCAGACAGTGCCTCTCAAATCCACCATTCTTGTACTTACTGTTCTCTGCCATGTAGAAGCTTTTGGAAATCACGCGCTGCCCATCAGCCATCTCTGTAACATCCACCTGGACTTTGATATCTGCCAGGAGCTCGGTCATGTCCACAGCGCACGCGTACTCTGTGTGACTGGCGTTCCTGGAGAGCTGCAGGAGACTGCAGGCAGCCACAGTATTTTCTGGATCTTCCTCAGGAACCCTAAAGCCACCAAAACAAACAAACAAGCCCACATCTACCATGTGCTGTAGTTGGCCTAATCTGTTGCTGAACCACCAGGCATAGAAATTAATAAGAAAAAAAGAGGAAATATGTTCAAATAAAAAATTATCTTTGAACTTTGACAGATTTTTTTTCCTTCTATTTGCTCAGCTTAGCATCTTTGAGAGGAGTAGGAAAGTGATGCTGAAGTGTTTGTGGGAAGGAAAGGCACTCACCAGGGCTGCACAGCCCAGGACTGCACCCACGTCCATGCTGAGGCAGGAGAGCAGCCATCCAGGGCTTGGGCAAGCTGCACAAGCCCGGCCTGCACGCACGAGTGCCAGGCCTTCGTTAGCAGCAGCAAAGGGCAAGGCATTGCCAGGGCAGGAGAGAACACAATGCCAAGGAAGGCCGAGGCAGCACAGCGGTCAGCGCAGGCAGTGGGCAGGGAACCAGGGAACCTTTGCTAGGGGAGAAGTGAAGTACCAAGTAAAAGCCAGCATGGCAGCAAGAACAAGGATTCTGCCTAACAAAGAGGACAGAAGGGCACCACTGTGCCATGGCCATGTTAGAATTTCCTGTTGACTGCACTTTGCTCATCCTACTGAGACGTACCATGTTGCAGTGAGGTTATATGAAGCAGTACCCGAGTCGCTTCTCAGGATACAGGAGAGGGTCTGTACATAGTCCACAAAACAAGTGAGGTTTTCACGGCACGTAGCTGTAGGTTTGGAAAGAGAAAACATGATATCAATTTCCATGATGAAGCAAGCAGAACTTTATATCAACACACAGAGTCCTCAGGGCTCCCCCTGAATCTGAACGGAACACACCGCTCTGTGCCAGCCCCCCCCCCCCCCCCCCAGCAGGCAAGCCACTGACAGCAAGGTAAGTGTCAAACAAAAAAGTATTAAAAATGCTGTGGCAGCAAACGACGTGCCAAAATACCAGGAAATGCCTGAATGGTGGCTGAATTTTCAAACTTATCTGTCACCTCTTACGCCATCACTGCAGTCCAGTCACACGTTATTTCTGCAAGAGACTGAGCTTATGTAGCACATGAGAGGCACGATGGCCTTAATCAGAAATGGTAGCACATTCAAACATTGTAATGATACCACTTCCTAAATCGAGTACTGTTCTTTGCTAGTCTGGTTTTAATTTTATGCCTTCTACATGGCACTTTGCACGTGTAAAAAGTGCTGTTTCAGTAATTCTTTCTTTACCATTCTCTCTGCATACTATTTTCTACAGCTTGATGTCTGCAGCGTCAATACTTTTCATGTCCAGCTCCAGAGGCTCAGAATATGCTTTTCATGGAGTTTTGGCAAAAAAATACTGCAAATTTGTAGTTACCATAATTTCCATATATCATTCTGATACTGAAGTGATAGGCACAACTCATTAATCACTTAAGCTGAAACAGACTTCCAAAGAGAACTTGAGAGGCCATTGCAGAATTTGGGCTGTCGCTGAGGACTTTAGCTCATCTGAAGTGCTCACAGAGCAGTGTTTGTGCTCTTCCAGGTGTTCTGCAGGAGCGCTGCTCATGTATTGGTGTTTAATATGTGCTGCACAAAAGCACTGTTGCTCTATGCATAACACAACTTATCTCCCTGTGTTTCAGGGCAGGGAAGAGGGCAGTACTGTGAGAAACGTCTGCATCGGCAAGTCCTCTCCGGACAGCGTCTTGGGCTGACAGGAGCCACCACTACTACACGAAGAATAACTGCATGAGGGGAGGCCTGCAGGCGATGCAGCATGCCATGCTACTGCTAACCATGCCATGCTGCTGCTCACCTTGCCACGCTGCTGCTCACCTTGCCACGCTACCACAACTATTCACCTCTTGCACGTACAGTATCACCCCTTTCTGATGGGAATAAAATTGTCATCACCTAGGGGTTCTCTCAAGGCTGTTGCATCCATGCTTAAATGAAGCATGGGTTCTCGCCTGCCATCAGGACTGCCCCCAGCCTGGTGGGAACATCAGGCTTCACAGCCACCAGGCACCCAAATCCTCTGACGCCATGTTGTGAGTTCACTTCCCTTTGTCATTCTGCTGCTTGCCTGCTTCAAGAAGCTGTGCTCCCTGCTTCCTACCTTCCCTTTGTTGAAGACGCTTTGTGTTCAGAGAGTTGTTTGGGTAAGATGAAAGCAGGCCTGCGCGATACGCTCAACAGCTGCAATGCCTGGTTTTACAGTTAAAGAGAATGCTGTACCAGAGAGCAATCAAGGTGGAATGTGGGCAACGTGTGCATTGCCGGACAAGAAACCTCTGTTCAACCCCCCGGATGAAGTGACGGTCCTCACAAACACGGTGTCCCTGTGTTTGCAGTCACAAGGCACAGCACGCACGTCCAGTGGAGGCGCAGCCCAATTCTAGGCCAGAGTAAGTTCAAAGAAAAAGGAAGTCCAACTCTTCCCACTGACTTCACTCATCACAGAAGTTTCTTCCTAATCCTGTTGCATCTTCTGCACTCCCCACATGAACTCTGGGCTGGACTCAGATTTGTGTACAAGACCCCCCCCTCCCCCAAAAGAGTCAAGAGGGCAACAGAAGAAATTTGGGGATGCTTGCAACAGACTGGCCCCCAGGGTGTACATATGCTGGATTAAACTGCAAGTAATTCAAATTATGTGGTCATCACTTTGTTTCATTTTGACTTTTTCATTTCACAGTGACTTCAGAATTTTGTTCTAAAATTTTCATTAAGCTTTAACTTTTCATTTTGAGCCCTCCACAGGCTCTCCCAAGGGCCCTGGTACAAGCGCCATTTGTTCCAGGGTCCTGAACAACATACTTTTTCTCCCTTAGCCTAAATTTACTCACCTGCAAAAATGGCGTTATAAACCCCTTGCTTTCTTTTAGAGAAGGCAGTAAGTATTAATAAGCTAATAAGCATTGCTAATTAGCTTTCTTCTATGCTATTATGTTAATCAGTCAAATGGACTGCTTCCTAAGTAGCTGGTAAGCTGCAAGCATACCTTTGGGCAAGAGTCCATTAACAAAATTAAGAAGAGGACAGCTTTTTACTGGGAAGGGAATAACTAAATATCCTAAGCCCAGTTAGATCTAGGATGAATTGTCCATCCTTGGCAGCTTCAGAAACAAAAATCAAGCACTTTTAACAGGAAGGTCCAGTTCTGTCCAAACTATGGGGCAATTCCCTCGTTTGTATTGCACAAAATTCAGCCCAGGCACCACAATGGTCCTGTATGGCAGGAAGGCAAAGCTCTGAATTCATCTTTTCTGCTAATTTAGGTTTGGAGCAGGTCCAATGCTCCGCCTAGAAGCGGCATGCAAAATGCTAAACTCACATCTGTTCCCTGCAGACATGGTTGTCACTGCCTTTTTCTGTCCAGCTGACCCATTCAGAAAGTCCACTCTGAGTCAGCTGGAGCTTGTATGGTGGGTAGGGACCAGCAAGAAATGGGGAGTGACTGCCTGCACAGTGCAGTCCTGAGCAAAGGGGCCCACCCCGCTGTCCCTGGGTGGCTTGCCGTGCCCTGGGGACACCCTGCTTATCCTGCTCTTGGCCATCGGAACCTTTCCTATGGCAAAGGGGGTTTTTGGGGGGTTGTTGTTTCTTTTTTTTTGGGGGGGAGGTGGGGTGGGAATTCTACTCTAATGTCAACAGAAGACATTTCAATGCTAAGCAGACCCCACCTCTGTGCTCCCCCTGGGGCAGCATGCAGCCCGGCGGAGCTCTGCCCAGCCGTGCACCTTCTTGCATCTGTCCTCTTCTGCCCACAGAGCCTCTTCCGTAACTCCTTATCCCATGGAACCCTCTCCCTGGACACCCTGTCATGTGCTTGCTGTCCCATAGCACCCTCGTGCCGTGCGCGTCTCAGCAGAGCCTGCGTCAACAGCTGCCAAGATAAATCCTGTGGATGTACTGCCCGGAAGAGATATCTGGGAACTTACTGTACTGGAATAAAAGGAAGAAGGAAATACTCTGGAGCCACAGTTTGTTCCTCATGTTGGTTCTGACTGGATGTCCTGGAAATAAACAAACAAACCCACCCTTAAAAAAAACCCAAGCAACCAATGAAAAGTTCAGCTCAGCCATCCACTCGTGTTTAAGGTTGAAGTGGAATTAATCTTGCTTGCATTTAAATGTCTAAAAGCGAAGTGCCTAATTTAGACAAGTAACCTCAGCTCTCCCGGATGTATCTGCTCCATGGGCTAAGGGGGGGACAACCAACAGCCCTGCCAACTGGCCACAAACCAGGTCAGCAAGATCCCTGCCCCTTGCCAGCAGCACACACACACAGAGAGCAGCAAAGTGCTTGCAGCCCCAGTCTGTCCATACAACAGGAATGCACTTGGGTTAAGCACTAACCCATTTTTTGTTCATCATTTCCTGCAACTAGAGATGGCCTGCAACTAGAAGAGACATTGTTGTGGCTTAAACATCTGTACAGCAAATTAGTCAAATAGTCTGAATGTCACTGGGGGTCTGTCTGAGCAAGGCTTGTGAGAATTCATTGATTTGGCCTACCCATGGTTAAATAAACATGGAGTATCCAGTTAAGGGACTCCAGGAGGGCAGACCAGAAAAAAAACCCAACAAAGCAAAACATGCCATGTGGCACAGAAGAGCATGATGTACAGCAGACACTTCAGGGGAGGGCCGTCCCAATGCAGTTTGGTAAAGAGAACCCATGGGGAAGTCTTCAGAGAAGAGGACAGCGGGATGTTTACAACATGAGGAACATACGAATGACTGCTTAGCCCACAGCTGTGCTCCAAGACCAGGCCCTCAAGCCACGTAACACATTAAGGGTGTGTTCTCACATTTACAGAAACACACAGATGTGCACAGAAAGACTTAAAATCAGCTCCCTGCAGAGCATTGGCTGTTGATACCCAGTGCAGATTTCAGCACTGTTTTCTCAAGCTACTCTGAAATGGGGTAGCCTACCTGGGGACTAGGCTTTGGATAAGCACTCTGTATGATTTTAGGGACATACTTCAGTTGGCGGTGAGTTGCAAGGATGCATGGGCAGCAGGGAGGGCCCACATACCACGCCACAGAGCAGGAGCACTGTGCACACAAGAACGTCCCTGCAGAGCCCCAGGGCTCTGCAAACCACCACCACTAGGTCACACAGAGGCACCTGTGACAGTGGTATGGGTGCAGACTGGGCAGCAAGCTATGGCCACCAGAAGGTACCCAGAGCTCCTGGCAGGGCCTGGTGCAGGACATAGAATCATAGAACAGTTTGGGTGGGAAGGACCCTGAAAAGTCATCGTCCAACCCCCCTTCAGGGAGCATGGACATCTTCAACTGGATCAGGTTGCTCACAGCCCTATCGAACCTCCAGGGATGGGGCCTCCACCACCTCTCTGGGCAACCTGTTCCAGTGTCTCACCACCCTCACTGTAAAGAATTTCTTCCTTAGATCCAATCTAAACCTACCCTCGTTCAGGTTAGAACCATCAACCCTTGTCCTGTCACAGCTGACCCTGCTAAAAAGATTGTCCCCACCTTTTCTCTGGGCCCCCTTTAAGCCCTGAACGGCCGCAATCAGCTCTGCCTGCAGCCTCCTCTTCTCCAGGCTGAGCCACCCCATCTCTCCCAGCCTGGCCTCGTAGCAGAGGGGCTCCAGCCCTTGGATCAGTTTTTTTGCCTCCTCTGGCCCCGCTTCCAGGGGGGTCTTACTGGAGTGGGGCAGAATCCCCTCCCTCGATGCTGGCCATGCTGCTGGGGATGCAGCCCAGGACAGCGTTGGCTTCTGGGCTGCCAGCGCACATGGCCGGCTCATGTCCAGCTTTTCATCGCCCATCACCCCCAGGTCCCTCTGGGCAGGGCTGCTCTCCATCCCTTCATCCCCCAGCCTGGGTGGGTATTGGGGGTTGCCCCCACCCAGGCGCAGGACCCAGGTCCTGGGGTGCCTGCGCCTCCTCCCCCACCAGCAGCCAAGCACCCAGACAGTCCCTCAGCAGAGAGAATGCCAGTGAGGCCTCTCCCACTTGGGGAACATTTGTGGTATTGAAAAATTCCCCAGGTTTACTCAAATAATGAAAGCAAAATAAATTTAGCAGCCACCAAAAAGCCCCTGCAGCCCCACGTGAGCTCAGAGGCTTGCTCGCAATGCACCAGCGTGTCCAGATGAGATCAGCAAGGCTCACTCGGGAGGTGCCACAAACACCCCACGGCTGCAGCACCTCAGCCCTACTGCTGCTGCCCCTCCTTTCCTGCCAAACATGTCCTGCAGATGAAGCCAATGCTCCAGCTCAGCAAGGAGCCCCAGCACCCTGCTGGTCTCCCTTCCCTGCTGCGGGTGGCAGGACAGAAACTCTCTTTCCCCACACTCCAGTCCTTCTTTCTGCATCATCCATTTCCTGGAGGAAACACCTTTTCTTGACCCCTCTGGTCGTACTGCTCCACGTTCTCTCTGTATAATAACTACTGTCATTACCAGTACTGCTGGCGATACAGTCCCTGATCACTAAGGCACAGCCCAGTGTCTGACCCCACCTTGTGCTCCCACTCACCCTTCCACCGCTCTTCTCCAAATTCTCATTCCTTGAGGACAGCACCCTGTTTTCCTGCCAGCTGAAACCTGCTCACCTGACTTCATGCTAAGACTGGCTGCACCGTGAGAACAGGCACCCTGACGGTGGGTGGCCTCCTGATGCTGATGCGACATCTGCTTGTGACGTCCTAGCATTGAGGCCCATCGTCCTTGCAGCAAGTTTAGAAGAAGAGCTGTGTCGAATGAACCTGTCACTGCAGCCTGGAGGTCACTAGCCCTAGAGACGCGATACATGTGATTTTCCACTGCCTTCTCCCTGCAGAATACCCAGAACCTATTGTCGCTGGGCTCAGACCATTAAATCCCCCAGCTCAGGATGCCAACATCCTGCCCAAGCAGGCCCGTTCCCACCCCAGGAGAGCGCACAGCCCCCAGGGCTGCTGCTGTCCTTCCTTGGTGGCCTCTCACTGACCACAACCCAGTGTGCGCTCTGGGCTGCGGGACGGACCCGTGCCATCTAGCACCGTGCCCTGCTGCAGAAGCCCATCTCACTTTGCTTTGCGACTGAGATGCTCCAGTCTTGGCCACCCTGTAGGGCCAAGAAAGGCAATTTGCTGCCTCTTCTTCAGCAGAGGAAGGAAGGGTTGGGCCCTCAGAGAGCTCTGCAGACCCACTGATTGTTTTGGAATCCAACTGGCAGTGCCCCCAGTGTTTCATGTTCATAATATTTCTGTAGCTCCCTCATTTTACCCCCATTCCTGCCTAAATGGACAGAGCAACGCAAGGGAAACCTTCACTGCTTTTAGGTACTGGACTGTGGTTTCTTTAAAGTGCCTCCCCTATTTTCCTTCCTCTGCTCAGGGAATAGTACCACCAGTCCAATGGGAAAGGAAGGACTGAACAGGGAAGAGTCAAAGCAACAAGGCCAAACAGCGCATTGGGAAGATGTGGAGATACAAGAGGCTGCCATTACACACTGGGGAGAGGTTAACACATGAAGTTTTAACCTAGAAGGAAGCTTCCCAAGTAAGAGACCAGTAGCAAAAATAAGACAGAAAGCAGTGGGATCTGCTAGTGAAGGTGAAGCAAGGAGACAATACTTCCTCACCTGGGACTCCACTGTCCCACCTCTTACCCTTGCCAATGCCCACAGATTAGCCCAACACCACCTTCACTTTTTACACAGTTCTCCCACCCCGGTGTGGCGGGAAGGGCTGCTGCCTGCGAGAGCGCCCCAGCAAGTGCCAGTGCTCTGTGTGCCCGGCCCCCTGGCCATGCTCCAGGTCACGGTGACAAGACACAGAGGTGTGTGCAGAGGAGCTGGGAAAGATGCAGCTCTGCAGCAGTGTCCCTGCGGTCTGAGGGCTGGAGGACCTCATGGCTTCACAGAGATGTGTAGCAGCCCCTGTTCTGAAGCTTCCTCTGGTCAGGCCCTCTGCAAACCTCGATCCCAGTTGATGATTAAGACCCCCACCTTCCCTACATCCCTCCATTTGTTACACCCTTCCTGTTTGCTCCATCCGTCAGCGCCCTGCTCATGTGGTTGCTCACTTGGAGGGAAGAATGGCAGCACGCAGCGAGCAGAGGCAGGAACCGACTCCCTGTCTGGTGTTAGAAAAGTCCTTTCTGCCACCTCATTTAAATTTCTTTGTGAAATGGGGACTCTGAGACAGCTTCATGCACCCTTGAAACCCAGTTACTTAATTCTTACAAAATGCCAAGCACTGTACAGCTGCTAAGCGCCATGCCACAAACTCTGCAGTATCCTAGGGGAGAGCATGTGAGAGCAGGGCGATAAAGCTGATTAGCCCTTCACATAGATGTGCTCACGTCAATGATGCTACAAGGCTTTAACATACCAGAGAATAGGGAACAGGACAACACAGACATAGGCATTTATAAAGATTATTTTTGTTAAGGATCTGGCAATATGGTGCTATAAGCTGCCAAAGAGGGGTGCAGTCTGAGCTCACAGTTTGAAGTGTCTCCAGGAAATGTATGCACTTACCAAACGTCCAGGAAAAAAAAAAAAAAAAAAGGGTATTTCCAAGCATGAGAAAATAAATGTCATAGCTACACCCAAGCAAAAAGAGAATGGAAGTCTCTCAGCCTGTCAGTTATATGCAAACTCAAGCTTTCTTACTGAAAAAAAATTGATTACCAATGTACACTGCTGTCTAATCACAAAGCTAAAGCAGCAGGGAGGCAGAAGGATTCTCTAGCTGTCCAGCAGAGGCCAACAGCAATGGCAGCAGGGGCACAAGGGCCACATCAGCTGTAGGAAAGATTCAGAGTGAAGTCACGAATACCAAGAAGCAACAACCTGGCAGCAGGAAAACATGGTGGAAACCTGGACATTACCTTGCCCCGTCCTTTCAGCCATCCATTTCAGCCCTCCAGCTCTTCCACGGCTGGCCTGGCTGAACCGTGACGGTGACTGCAGACGCCACACACGCGAGGGCTGGAAGGCAGGTGGATCTCATCAACACCGAGAAGAATAAAGTCTACTGGTACACGACCAAGAGCTGTAGTGTATTGGAATACAGAGTGATAAATGGCGGCTGACGTCATCACTGTATCAGTATTACTGTGCCTATAGAAGGATGTGGTGAGCAGAGGAGGCAATGAATTCGGGTCCAAACACCCACACAACATTTATTACTGCATTGCTCTGCTCTCTTACTCTTATGTGAGAAAAAGGTGGGAGAGCACATAAAAACCTCACGAGCCTCCGATCTAAAAGGTCATAGCAGGGCTGGCGGAGTGAGAGCCTCGCAGCAGGGAGGCATCCGTGTCAAGGCGTTAAATGGTTAAGCCTAACTCTACAGCACAACTCGTACCAGGTCAGAGGCAGCCAAGTGCCACTGCACTCTGCTTCCACCATCCCCAGAGCGGCCCCTGCGACTTGGGTGACAGCACCAACCCTCAGACCACAGGCAGGGAGGTGGCCTGGCTCCCGCACAGGCGGAGGGGCTCACTCTGACCCCGATCTCACACTGGCAGCTTCTGTCTGGGCTTGAGCTCTGCAGATTGCACAGCTGAGGCTGAAGGAGGGTAGGTCAGCTCACCTCCCTCTGACCTAAAAGGGGCTGCAAGGAGCCCAGCACACGTTCTTCGGCAAGAGGGAAAGCAGCAGCACTACGGTGGGGACTTGGCACACGCAGCACAGCGTTGGAAGGGTAAAGAACAAGGGGCTGCAATAACCCAAGGAGACGGCAGCAGTCAGGCAAGCACAAAAGCAGCTGGGTGCAGGGTGAATGGGCGCTACGTTCAGCCCCAAGACCGGCTGAGCTGAAGAGCCCAGTGCTCCTACAGCACCCACCGCACAGCAAGAGGAGCTGCAAAGCCCTGGCAGAGCCCGGCACAGCCCGGTCCAGGAGCCCAGGGCAGCACAGGCACAGCCAGTAGGGGCCAGCTCTTCCCCAGGCCTCAGATGTGGGAAATTACAGACATGCGAGTGTTGTGGCTGGTCGGTCCAAGTACAAGACATTTTTATAGCAGTTAAAGACAAAATAAATTCCATCCCTCATGTAGGCAAGGATGCAGCAATCACGGGCCACGGAGGGCGTAAGATTGTCAGAAGATGCTCAAGAGAGAAGGTCCCAGCTCCACACCCAGCAGTAGGAGCTGTCTCTCTCGTGTACTCATAAGTTACTTGAAAAATAATCAAGAGCTTGCTGCTTCCAGCATACATAGCATCTGTTTGCAAGGGAGAAACGCAGACTTCAAAGGCTGCTGATCCCATGCTGGAGGAATGGTTACAGAGCCATGGGGAAGCTGCTAATAATGGTGCAAGAGAGCGCAGCTCTGGTTTCTGTGCTGGTGCACACACAGGAGCAAGGCGAGGTGTCACTGTGCCAGGGTGTTCCCAGGAGACTGTAAGAGTGTTAACAACATGCCGGAGTTTTTACAAAAGGAAGTAGGGTTTACTGGGCCATAAAGCAGCCCAGAAAGTCTAAACCAAAACCATTAGAAAAGCTAACAAGGCATTCAGTTAATAGACACCAAAAGGATAATAACAGAGAAGCCTAAGCAGTTATATAGAAAATATTAGTGCAAAAAGTGATTTTTAATGAGTTAAGTTTGAGAAAAACAGGCGTTTAGGTGCCATCTGTTTACATTTGTAAAGGAGTTGGTCTTAAGAGTACCACCGGTGTTCCTGTTTTAATAACTAGCTCTGTAATATCAAGTGTATGTTATTGCATGTTTTAAAAACAGCGTGGCTTGTGCCTGCCAGGCTGTCACTCTTTGGCCCGATCACACGTGCTGCCCTTTCCCTCCTTCCTCTGCGCAAATAAGGGTGCTAGCACGCCTCGGAGAGTCCTGTGGCAGCATGGAGCAAAAGCTGCGCCCCTGCCCTGGTCTGCTATCCTCACGAGAGATTACTAACTGCCCGGGAAACGCCTAGCTTAGCTGCTCAGCCTAGCTGACACTGTTCAATCCCACACCACACACAACAGCGACAATCTCCTCATCAGCAAAGTCTTTTCTAGGAGCCGGGGCCTGGCACCGTGCCTGTCATCAATGCACAAAGTGTGCAGAAGGAAGAGCTGGTCCCTCTTACAGAGGTTCTGCTCCAAACACGATGAGGAATAGCTGTTAGGCTAAGTAACAGGATCTCCTCTGTGCAGGTTGTAACAGCGCACAACCAGCCCATGGGCCAGCCCAGTCACTGGCAACTGCCTGGCAAGCACGGTCAGGAGCCACCAGCCCCAGCCTGAATGGTCCAAACCCTCTGTTTTTCCCAGGGTGAGTTGGGGAATGGAGGTGTTTGCTGCATAGAGACAAGGGAAGAGAGGCAGGGCTGAAGGTAGGTGGTGACCCTAGGAGAGGGCAGCAGTGGCAGTTGGAACTTCTTTTTCTAAGATAATTAATTTTAATTTAAGAAAGTTTATCCTTCACCAACTGCCAGAATTCAGATGTGCACAGCTTCCCTTCTGTGATGCTCACTGCTGGTGAAGCATAAAGCCAACAGAAACACTAAGGGCCTGCCAGAAGGCTGGAAGAGCTCATCATGCACGGATGTGCTGAAACTTAATGAATGATCATCTTCTGCCATCTGGCACTATGCCTGCACATGTGTGCATGTATGTACACGCAAGTACAGGTACATGCGCACATGAAGGCGTGCGAATGCTGCAACGTGAAGAGCAGCAAGTAGCCTTGCCCCTGCAGAGCAAACACCTAACACGTGCCGAGCTCTTAAGCCCTGGGAGGCCCAGCACAGCGGGCCCCGCCGGATCTCCTGTGGTGACCAGGAGGGATCCAGCCTGGGAAGAGGCAGGATGTAGGACACACGTGCAGGATGCTGAGGAGCCCCGATACCTATTGCCACCTGGAGCGCAATACACGGATACACCTCCTGCACGGAGCAAAGCGAGTCAGCAGGCTCAGTGTGCAGTGACCATCTCCAAGAGCACAGAGCTCTGGAGCTGCGCGGGCACCGACTCCTCCGCACCTGAGGTTCCACGGCACTTCAGGGCAGCTGGATCCAGCACCTGGAGACCTGAAGCACTTCAATTGCCATGGATTTCTGTTGATTTGAGATAAGAGGTAACTACTTTCATCCAGCTGTAACCTCAACCCAGCCTGCAGTGGCAATATTCACCATGGAGCAAGCATGAAGGGCACAACAGGGAAGGCTTGGTAGATTCTGCTAAAATTATTGATGACCGAAAAGCACTTTGCCATGACTGTATTCGTCAACAAGGACAAATACACACAGAGGAAATAACAACCAGAGCTGACAATTCCTCTCTTGAGAAGGAAGAGTTAGCAACACTTGTAGTTACCAAGTTGATGATGTGGGGAAAACCCCCACACACAAACAGTTCTGCCTCTGTATTCTCTCCCTGTCACAATGGAATTAAAACCATATCCTCAGCATGGGCAAAGATACAGACCTGGTATAACTCTAGGGTCAAAGGCACCGCTACTGGCTGGTGACATTTAGGAGGAAGATAATCATACGTTACGATAAGTAATGAGTAAGAAGTGGCAGGAGAACAGCTGAGACATGAGTAACAGTGCTCTACTGGAAGGGAAAGCAATAGAAGAAACCACCTCAAAGCTCAGGAAATGGGGTAAAATATGAATGAGCCAGGCAGAAAGCGGAGGTGTTAGTCAGCAAAGCAGCAGGTTGAAAAACAAAAAAGCCCTCCAGCCGGCGCCCTGTGAGAGGAGACAGGATGCGGCTCGGAGGAGGGAGGCGCGCATTGCTTTCTGTCTGGGGAATGCTGAGTGCCACCTACAGAGACACAAGCACCCTGCCCTCCTGCCCCCCTTTTGCCGTTGCCAGGTGTCTCTTTGCAGCCACCAGCACCGGGCTCAGCCTTGTTTTCCCCAACATCCATGAAGCCTGAACCCATTCTGCATGAATGCTGTGGTAGGAGGACATTGCTTTGGCTCCCGCCCGAGGAAAAGCGCTTACCTCCACAGAGCTGTGGCTCTGTATGTCTTGCTCGCACCGAGGGGATCGCACAGAGGCTCCTATCTTCTCTTAGGAAATCACCAGACACATGCTAGTTAACAGAAACAGGAATGACTCTGCCTGTGAACTCACCCTGACCATCTGGAACAGAAACCTACAGCTCTGCTTGGGCTCAGACCCATCACCCTCATCTGCACCGTGCAAAGTGTGCCCAGAGCATCTCCCTGCAAGCCGCACTGCACCGTATGCATTCAGCACACAGCACAGCACGCTCTCCCCACGACAGCCTCCGCACCACCCTCCTCCAGGAGCCCAGATCCCTTTTGACAGCCCACAGGCAGTACTCGCCCTCCGTGTATTTGGCAGAGCCCTGCCTTACCCCACAGCTGAGTTCCTGCAGCTTCACAAACCAAGTGCCAGCCTTTTCTTGCCTGCTCAGCTGATGTGTCCCACCCCCACCCCCTCCCCTAGCACAGCTGTTCTCAGACCAGTCCCAGGTACACCTTCTGTGTTCGTGCTTCCAGAGAGCACCGCCTCTGCACAAGGTCAGCAATCCATCACACTTTCCCTAGCTCACCTGTGTCAGCAGTGCCGGCAGAACTCACTGCTCCTTTCACGCAGGGTGGCAGAAACACACCCATCTAGAGCCCACATGCATCAGCTTATCCCCAGATCTCTGCTGGCAGGGATGCACCAAGACCAGAACTCTGCTGCTGGCATGCAGCTACTTATGGCAAGAGCCTCACCTGAGCCTCCTGGATCTATGTTTTACCACAGCTGTCAAAGATCAGCATGGCCACCCATACTGCCCGGCCACAAGCTTTTACAGCAGGCCTCCCACCCCTGGGGCTGGGCACAGCCACGGAGTGTGCCTTGGGCGGCCTCTGGCACCTCTAACGGGGCGAAAAACCGCACCAGCTCTTTTCAGCCCCTGACTGTGGAAGCACTTTTGCAGCAGCAGCTCGTGGCTTGCATTGCATGCTGCCTCCAGGCGGCGAGCTGCAGGAGACGATCGCACGGCAGCCGTGCTGCTGGCTCCATCCCAAACCCACAGGACAGGCAGGCCTAACACCACTAGTGGCTGGGGATGTACCCTGTCTTCAGAACAGGCAGGATGGGGGTGTGAGATGGACAAACAGGCAGAGCTATGAGAAGCACCTTGCAAAACGTGGGAGCATATTAACAACATTGAAGATAAACAGGATTTTCATGGAAAGAGATTTCTCTGAAGTAACCAATGTTTCAAAAAATGCAGAATACATCTCTGCATAGAGAAGCCAAAAGGCTTTGTGAGACCTTCTCAGGGAAGTCCAAGTTTTGTGAAGCTGTGGCTTTGCTATGATGCTGCAGGAGCTCACTGGAAGGTGGCAGAAGGCAGGAGCTTGTTTTGTTTGTGGCTAAAAAGGTCAAAACATGGGGTTATTGACTCCACTTCGAGCACAGGGACTACTGCGATGAATTTGTGTCCTATCATTGTATCTGCATCCAAATCAGTGCTGGTAAACATTTACAGTGCTCAGCAAGAAGCAAAGGAGTCTGAAGGTTGTTCCTACAAAATGTAGGGGCTGGGGAGTTCCATGCTTCCACAGTGGCTTTGGTTGTGGTGCGAGGCTCTTGCTCGAACAAGGAAGCTGCCTGGATCTCCTGGTTGCTGTTCTGCGACCAGCTCTGCAGAGCCCAGCGTCCGCCCTCCTTGCCCTGCCACCATGCACGTGCAGATGGTGGAAAGTGATGTGCTAGGAGCAGCAGGAAGCTAAAGCAGTGGCAGACAACGCGCAAAAGAGAGGCAATACAGACAGCAGTTGAATGCCTTGGTCCTTCACCCTGGGGAGCACAGCTGGAGGTTTTTAAGACAAGTCATAAGAACAGCAAAAGTGGCCTGACCAGAAGTGGGAAGAATCCCTGATGCTTCTGGACAACAACGTCTGTTGCAGGGGCCCAGCACAGCTCAGAATGAGGCCACAGAACAGGTAGCACATGCTGAATGATGGGTCCTAATTCCTTGTGGAGGAAAGCAAGTGCTAGATGGTTCTGTTGCCTCCCTCATGCTGTGGAGGACCACGCCCTGTGCCTCTGGAGCCCCTTGGCTAGGCGGCGTGGGGGGAGACCACCCGGCCATTAACTGCCCTGCAAAACCTTCGAGCCCGGGGCCTGTCAGACACAAGCACGGGCTAGTGAAGCCAGCACAGCGTGAGCCTGCCAGAGCCCGCTCCTCAAGTAAAGCACCAAGACAAGAACCAGGGACTGGTTACAGCCCTGAGCCAGGTGTGGAAATTCTACCCCCAGAAGGCAGCCCAGGGTTTTCTCACCCTGTTGCAAGTCTTGTTGCTGTGTGGGTGGCTCACTACAAGTGAAACTAGCGGTGGCTGAGCCGGGGAGAAGCAGCCAACCTCAAACTCTTCAGCTTATGGCAAATTCCCCCGTGTCTAAGAGCTGGGGAAACAGCAGCAAGTAGGAAAGTCCCGGCAAGATATTAGTCACTGGCTTGGTAACCTTCAAGCAGGGGACAAACACCATGCTGCTGCGAATGCCCTGCTCTTACAGTGGAGCACAGACATGGACGCGGCTGATCCATCGCTGAGCTGGGGCGGGAGCTCCTCAGGACGCCTGCCATGCGCCGCGGACCGGGGCAGCTCTAGCGCAGTCATCCCCGTCAAACAGGCTGTGGGTCGCAGGCTGGTGCTGTACCAACTCTTGCCATTACAGTTGTCTCTCTACATTCAGAACACGGAATTTTAGGTCTTCTGCACAGATGGTCAGAGTTTTATAGAAAGTATTCTGGCTAAGGGCAAAAAAAGAAGCAAATGGCTGCTCCTCCCCCCTATGCAGCTAAACGTGCCGCAGCAGCCAGCTCCCCACTCCGCTCAGCTAGGGCTGCAGCCAGTTTTTTCTTCTGTTTCATCTTGCAGGCTTGCTGGAGGGGTAGAAGGTGGCTGGGTAGAAATTCCCCTGTTGTAGAAAGCCACAGAAAGAACAGGACGGAAGCAGCACAGCACAAGGGACAAAGGGACGAAAGCACCTTTGGCCAGAGCACAGCAGAGATGTCAAGGTCCTCTCGTTGCTTTCTCAGCTTGTCAAAGGAACGAGAATAGCCAGGACTTGGCAGTGCTGCTGCTGGCTGTTACAGGTACGCTGGGCGAGGGAGGTCGTCCTTCCCCTCTGCTCAGTGCTGGTGAGGCCACAGTCGCAGTGCTGCGTCCAGTTCTGGGCTCTCCAGTACGAGAGACATGAAAAGCACACCGAGGTATGGCAATTTAGTGAGCTTTAGCTTTGGCTGTGTTCGTGAGGTACCTGGAAAGCGCCCTCTTCCTCACTCAGGGTTTTTTTTTCCCCTTTGCTTCTGAGCAATCTGCTTTGCCAGACAATAGTCCCGCAGCTGAAAACCAGATGGGCTCACTGGCCTCGTTACTCTGATTGTCAGCAAGTTCATGCCGAGCTGTTGCTTGGCTTCTGACCTCACCACCGCAGTTTAGTCAGAGGGGCCTCGAGGACTGCATGCCACAGCTGCAACATCTGATGGAAAGCTGACGGCATCACATGGCAGCCTCAGAGTGGCGTGGTGAAAAAAATTAAAACTGGATAATGCGTAATCATGATACAGCACCATGTGTGAACCTGGGCAGACCTGTACGTGGCCCTCGGCGGGGGGGAATGACCTCTGTGTGTGCATGTGCCTGTGCACTGCATGGGCACGGTTCCCCTGAGAATCAGTCAAAAACCACCTATTCTTTGTGAAAGCAACTGTATGCAAAATGACGGCACCTCTGTCAGAGCCAGAACACAAACTGCATGTATCACGCTCCATAAGTTTTCTGCAGAAAAGACATTGCTGGGAAAAGGCAAACTGCCCTCTCAGTCTCCATTCACTAAGGATTTTTGTCACATAATTCCACAGTCACAGGTAAACATTAGGGATCAGGGTTTCGGAAGCCACAACCCCCTCATTTGGTTCGCTCACCCTGTGTTCCTTTGGCCATGTCCCTACTAGAATGCAACACCTAGAACCCCTCGTTCCCTTAGGTAAGTTTGTCGCTCACAATGGATAAGCACTTGGACATCCTTGCACCCTGCCTGAACAGTGCAAGGTCCCAAAGCAAGATGCAGAGGCAAGTTATTTAAAACGTTGACCCCTCCCTCGCCCTAAATTAACTTGTCCGTACTGCCAAGCACTTGACCCCACACCCTCGAGCTCCTGCTCCAGTCTCCTGCGGTTCTCATTAGCTGTCCACAGGCAACGACAAACCTTGTGATTGATAGGAATTTGCCAGCAGCCCTTCCGTACAGGTGAGTATTTCCAAGGAGCTACTACTGTTCAGGAGGAAGAGAAGGCAAGGCTGCGGCATTCCCTGCGAAGGAGCAGCAGTGCATCAGAACCAGCTTCTCCTGAGCTGGGAATGGACCTGCTTTTCTCAGGAGCCCATTTTGCTTATCCTGAGTCGGGTTGCTAATGCTTGGTAGGCAGCCAGGTGAGACCGATGTGGAGGTGGCGTGACTGTGAGTGAGTAACAAACAGCAGCTTAACTAGGCTAAACTTAGCACAGGCCTCCGCTTGCATTGCAGTCTTACAAAACAAACTGGAAAACACTGAAAATACACTTGGTGCGATCAGTAATCCCCTGCACTGGTAGGAGCCCTCCACCAGCTAAAAAGGACGTGCTTGGAGGGCCCCGGCCATCAGGAATGAAGCTCCTTTCTCAGGAGGGTAAGCTGCCATCACAGGCACAGGCTGGTCCCTGGGAGGTGTGGCCCAGGCCAGTACCCCTCGCTGGCACTCCTGGGAGCCAGCCCAAAGTCACAACTCCCACATGCTCTGGGCCCACCTTAGGCCAGGAACCTGTCAATTGACACCTACCTGTGCTTTATAGCCCGGCAATAGCTCCGGATGGAACCATCTGGACCTCTGTAAAGCCTTTGACATGGTCCCCCACAACATCCTTCTCTCTCAACTGGGGAGATACAGATTTGATGGAGGGCTGTTCAGTGGATAAGGAATTGGTTGGATGGTTGCATCCAGAGGGCAGCGATCAAAGGCTCGATGTCTGGATGGAGACTGGTGCCAAATGGTGTCCCTCAGGGGTCTGTACTGGGACCAGTGCTGTTTAGTATTTTCATCAATGACACAGACAGCGAGGTTGAGTGCACCCTCAGCAAGTTTGCATTTAACACCAAGCTGAGCGGTGTGGTTGACATGCCAGAAGGACGGGATGTCATCCAAAGAGACCTGGACGAGCTGGAGAGGTGGGGTCATGTGTGAACCTCATGAGGTTCAACAAGGCCAAGTGCAAGGTCCTGTCCCTGGATGGGGGCAACCCCCAGTACCCACCCAGGCTGGGGGATGAAGGGATGGAGAGCAGCCCTGCCCAGAGGGACCTGGGGG